AGAGGCCACAGAAGCTCTGCCTGGGCTGATGGATGAAAATTTTCTCCTATATAATTTCAGTCCAGGAAGACTTGGAGGCTGATATGGTTTGGGTATTTGTCCTGCTCAAATCTCAGGTTGAAATGTAATAACCAATGTTGGAGGCAGGGCCTGGTGGGAGTTGTTTGGGTCATGGGGTAGATCCTTCCTTGCTTGGGGCTGTCCTTGCAATAGTGAATGAGTCCTCATGAGAAGATATGGTTGCTTAAAAAGTGTGTGGCACCTCACCTCCCTCTTGCTCTTTCTCTCAACATATGATGTGCCTGCTCCTGCTTTAACTTCTACCAGGAGTAAAAGCTCCTTGAGGTCTCCTTAGAAGCTGAGAGAATGCCAGTGCCATGCTTGTACAGCTTGCAGAATCACGAGCCAATTAAACCCCTTTACTTGATAAATTACCCAGTCTCATGTATTATTTTATAAGAATGCCAGAATGGCCTAACACAGAAAATTGGTACCAAGAAGTGGGACATTGCTTGCTATAAGGCTACCTGAAAATGTGGAATTGACTTTGGAACTAGGTAACGAGCAGAGTTTACAAGAGTTTGGAGGACTCAGAAGAAGATAAGATGAGGGAAAGTTTGAATTGTGACCGAAATGCAGATCATGACGTGGACAATGAAGTTCATGCTGACAAGGTCTCAAATGGAAACAACAGTTATTGGGAGCTGGAGCAAAGGTCACTCTTGTTATGCCTTAGCAAAGTAATTGGCTGCATTGTGTTCATACCCTAGGGGATCTGTGGGAGTTTCAACTTGAGTGATGACTTAGGACATCTGATGGAAGAAACTTCTAAGCAGTAAAGCATTTAGGATATAGCTTGGCTGCTTCCAACATGTTATGCTCAGATATGAGAGCAAAGGAATGACCTAAATTTGAAAGTTATATTTAAAGGGGAAGCAGAGAATAAAAGTTTGAAAAATTTGCAACCTAACTCTTTGTCAAAGAAAGAAAAAGACTCTAAGTCAAAAACTGTCTCAAGTTGCAAAAAGGACGTTATAAAATGATTTTTAAGTTTATTAACCAGGAATATACAATTATAAATATATATTCACCCAATCTCAAAGAGCCAAAAGCTGTAAAGCCAACATGGACAGAACTGAAAACAGAAATATAGAGAAGTACAATACAATCATCTCTTAGTATCTGTGAGCAACGGATGTAGGACTCCCTATGAATACCAAAATTCAAGGATGCTTAAGTCTCTTATATAAAATAGTGTAGTATA